CCTGCTGCCCAATGCCTCGGTGCCCGTCTCCATCCCTAAGCAGGGGAGAAAGGGACCATTGTTCAGGGGCTTTGGGGGAAAAGCATGGGCACTGGGGAGCTCTGCGGGGCTGGAGGAGGAGGAAAGTCTCCCCCTGCCTCCTGGCACCACCGGTAGCTGGAGGAGAGGGACTGCCGCCTGCACCCATGTCTCCCTTGCTCCACGCAAGCCCCAGGGCATGGGTGCTCCTGGGCCTCTGGAGCCATGCAAGAGTGGTTTCCCTCCTGCTGCTGGAGCCACAGTCCTTCGTCTGCCCGCCCAGAGACAAGCACATGCACACAGCGCTCTGTTCAAGCTAAAATTTATTCCTGCACGAGTCTCCCTTGTACGAGACACTTCCCGCCCATCTTGCTTACACAGTAAACAAGCCACTTGCCAAGCAGCAACGCTGCCCCAGTCCGGTACCTGCCGCGGGCAGCCCCTCCATCCTGGCCTGCCCTCCCCTGAGCCCCATCGGGATGCCCCGGGCTGGGTGGGATGCTCATGGTGCGAGAGTGCTCAGCCTGTGCCCGCAGGGCCAGCGAGGGCAAAGCAGGACGGGTTGCTGGGTTGGACACAGCTGCCTTGCGGGCTGGGGCTGGGATTGTGCTGGGTCGGGCCCATCTCTCCTCCCGCTGCACCTCAGGCAAGGCAGGATGGGGAGGAGAATAAATTAGAGAAAAGTCTAAAAAGGCCACTGGCATTTGCTAGCTGGAGGACAGAGCAGCAGGGCGGGTGGGGACACGCATCCCCGGGCACCCAGGGGGGCTCCTGATCGCAGGGAGAAGAAAGCCCCAATTGCAGATGGTCCCGGAAAGTCACTGTCCTCCCCTCCCTCTCCTCCGCAGGACAGACGATCCTGTGCAACCCCAATGGCCTCCCGCTCCCCTAAATGGTTTAAGGCACCGTCGTATGAGGAGGCAGGTAAAAACCTACCCAAAGCATCCCCCGGCACAAGTCCCTGGAGAGCCAGGAAGCGGTGGGGTGCTCCGGGTTGAGCAAAGTCCACTATAAATACATATAAATTCCACAAAATGTTTTCCTCCCTCCTGTCCGTGAGCGTGGGCCTGAACTCAGGCTGCTTTGAAGAGTGTGCATGGGGCAGCTGGTGGGGCCGTGCTGCCTGAGATGGGACAGAGGCAACTGAAGGGCTGGGGTCCTTTGCCAGGAGGTTCGGAAGCGCTGGGAGGAGGCCAGGAGCAGTTCACGAATCCTCTGGGAAGGCCAAGCAGAATGGGAGTGCCAAGGAGGGATGAGGGAGGCTCTCCTGAGTCCCCAGCTCTGGGTGCTCCCCCAGGGGAGCAGAGGTCCTGGCTGAGTCAATGGGGCAGGCAGCCCCATGCCCGCAGAGTCCCTTGCTCAGTATTTTTATTAAAAACCAACAAAAAAAAAAAAAAAAAAAAAAAAAAGAAAGAAACTAAAATGCACCCCAAGGTAAAAACCAAATGCCAGCAATCAGGAGGTGCCTGAGCTGCCTGGGCCCTGCCCTGCCCGCGGGCTGCCCTCCTCAATTCGGAGCTGGGGTGTCCTTGCCTGGGGTCTGCTCCTGGCTGCCTCCAGCCTCCTGCTGCAGCCCCCTGGGGGTCTCTCCTCTTCACCCCACTCTTGCACCTGGGGGGCAAACAGCCGAAACCTGGAGGGGCTGGCTCTGAGGGGTGGTGCAGGGGTCCCCAGGGAGGCAGGGCTGGCTACATGCGGGAGGATGGGCTGCCCAGCTCAGAGAAGAGCAGGTAGGCATCGCTGCTGCGGACGTGGCTAGATGACATCGGGGTTACACTGCGGAGATGGGGAGATGTGCTGTGAGCAATGGGGATGAGGCACCGGGATGCCCTGGGCAGGGGGTCCCCGCTCACCCCGACCCTGCAGCCGCCCCCGCCCCACGCGCAGCCTCACCGGGAGTCGTTGAAACTGTGCCACTCGCTGGAGACGGGGCTCTTGCAGTAGGCAGTGTAGTGTCCCCCCATGGTGGTGCCCGAGTGGTTGGAGACGGCGTAGAGGTTGTAAACGGCGTGGTCTGCAGGGAGCAAGGGTGGTGCTCAGCCATGCCAGCTGCTGCCCCGCTGCCCCCCAACATGCCAGCATGGAGCTGGGGCCGGGAGGGACTGGCACCCTGGATGTCTGTGGCTCCCACCCCTCCCCGTGCCTCTGCCACTTGCTGTAGGCTGCAGCACCCTGCAGGGTATGAGGGACCCAGCCAGGAGCCCAGGGCTGGGCTGGAGCCACACAGGGCCTGACACTCACTGCAGCTCTGTGAGGCAAACTCCCGGAGGTCCAGGTCCTTCAGCTGGAAGTTGACGAAGGTGGTGAGCTTGCTCGTTCGTATCCTGGCCTCTGAGAAGCGCTTCAGGTCTGGGGGGGCACATTAAGGAGCCGAGGGACAGAGTGGAGCCTGCAAGGAACTGCCTGCCCCCCACCCCCCCAGTACCCCCTGTCCCTGTCCCTCTGCTTGAAGGATACGAAGCACCAGGATCTTGGGGAACTTCTGGATGCTGAATTTCTTTGTGCACCTTGTCCTGGCTTTGCAGCGACAACATGTCTGTGGGAGACAAACAGCATGAGCAGGAGGGTGAGGGCAGAGGCCAGCCCCACCGGGCACTAAGCCCACAGTCCTGGCAACAGCAGGCATGGAGGGAAAGGAGCTCAGCCTGCACCAAGGCAAGCCCCACCATCACCATGCCCCACGCCCCGTACCGGTTTCTCGTCCCCATCCAGCACGTCCTCTTTGGTGAAGAGCCGTAGGCAGTCCATGAGGGTCACTTCCCCGTAGCCTTTCTATGGGAGCACAGCGTGGGTCAGGGACAGGGACAGGGTGTGTGGGTCAGGGGCACTAGGGACTGGTGGGGACCTCTTACCTTGGGGATGGGCAGGGACAGGTCCCAGAAGGGATCGAAGGCTGTGGAGCAGTAGCCACACTCGCTGCACGTCAGAGAACTCTTCAGCTGCCCAACGAAGAGGTCTGGTGGGGATGGGACAAAGCAGGGTGAGACCCCTGGTTCCCAGCCCCACTCCCAGTCCAGCCCTTCCCTCCTCCCCCCACAGCCCTGCTCACCACCAATGCGGCTGTCCTCCCTCTCCTGGTACCTCCTCCACATCTGGCGGCTCTTCTCATCATCACTGCAAGAGATGGGGAGACAGAGTGGTACTGAGTGTGGCCTGGGGGACGCCAGCCCCTGTGACCCAGCCCAGAGGGACCCGTGTGGTCACTGTCCCCGGGCTGGGCTTGCAGGCAGTGAGCTCATCTGTGGGGCTTGTCCACTGTCTCTGCCCCAGCCAGCACTTACGGGAGGTGGTCCAAGGTGTCCGTGCTGGCCCGTGGCCGCACCAGCACACGGTTCACCTCACTGTGCAGCCCATCAAGGAGGAACCGCAGGAACTCCTGTGCATCCTGCTGGCTGCAAGACACAGGGCATGGCTGGTGAGCGGCGGCAGGGGCTCAGCTCCCCCCTGCCACCCCTGCACCAACGCCCCTTACTTGTAGCCGACGAAGCGGGGGGCATATCTCTGGATCTGCGTCTTGAACTCGGAGGGGCTCACGCTGTCGTTGGGGGACGAGGTCCAGAGCAGCTGAATCAGCTTTGCAAACTCTGTGGGCAGAGAGGCAGGTCAGCAGCACGGCTGGCCCCAGCCAGCCCTGGTGGCATGGCACTGCCGTGCCCTCCAAGGGAGAGCTCAGCACCCCACTCCGGGGTCCCTGCAGTTGGCCCTGTCCCCTCTGGAGAGAGGACCCGATCCTCCCAGTGGCTGGGCACCCAAAGCACAGTGCTTGCCCCAGCAAGGCTGGGGAGAAGCACCTCCCCCAGGACATGGGGTGGCCTAGGGGAGCAAGGACATGCTGCAGGGACGTGCTGCAGGGAGGCCCCGTCTGGTGAGGAGCCAGGGGCCGGTGACTGATGGTTACCTGACATGAGCGCGGTGCGCATGCGACTGTTGTTGTTGAGGTCCCGCAGGTACTGGTTCTGCAGGCAGTAATCCCGCAGCTCCTTGGTGTTGCTCAGGCACTGCAGGATGGAGTTCATGAAGCACTGGGGGAGGCAGAAGAGAAAACCATGGCAACAGGAGGCAGAGGGAGGCAGGCGGTGGCAGGGGGACACCTGGGGTGGGTGGGCAGAGGATAGGGACGAAGCAGTGCAGAGCATGGGAACCCCTTCCTCAGCCAGCACCGTCGGGAGCAGGCGGCAGGGAGCTGCTGGGGCAAGAGTGAGGGTGCTGGGGGTGAGGCAAAGGGACAGGGCTCCCCACCGCCCCATAGATGTGCTCGCAGAAGAGCACGGTGTGAGCCGGGGCCGCGCAGACTGGTGCCTGGGTAAGTACTCACCGTATTACCGAGGTTTCTCAGGCCGGTCAGACCCTGCACTGCCTTGGAGCTCTGCAGAGAGAGGGAACAGGGCTGAGACGGTGCCTGGTACAGGCTGGCCATGCCTGTGGGCAGCCCAGCGAGGCCATGGTGCCACAGGCATCCACGTGGAGCAGACCCTCAAGTGCAAGCTGAGGCCCCGTCCCCCTGTGGGCATCATGGGCTGAGCCAGCACCGCAGCTGCTCTCTGCACTGGTTGCACGCAGGACTGTGGCCAAGGACCCAGCAGGAAGCCATGGCTGGCCTGCCCCATCCTGCTTGCCCAGCTGCTGCTTGGCTCCCTGGCCCAGGACAACACACAGGGCTCAAAGTTCTCCCTCCCTGGTGACACTGCTGCCCCGTGCCCTGGGCTGCAGGCCAGGCCAGCTGCCCCTGCTGCCTCCCCTTGCCAGCCCTGAGCCCTGGGAAGCTGGGGGTGGCAGTGTCCCATGCCTGCCTCCGTGGCTGCAGGAGGTGCACGGTGCCCTGCTGCTGCCTGCCTTGTCCACATCGGGTGTCCCCTGCACGAGCGTAGCCCAGACTTTGGGGCTCTTTTGCAGGATAAAGTCCATGTGGGAAAGTGCAAGCCCAGCCCTGTGGCAGTCAGCCCGGGGGACAGGGCTGCGTGCCCAGCACTGCCCTCCCAAACGCTTGCTGGCCTGTGCCCGTGCCACGGGGCTCTTCCAGGGCCCGAGGTACTCCCTGAGCTGGGCAGGCTCGTGCCGAGCAGAGACGGGCACATGCTGCTGGGTGCTGGGGCCAGGAGGCATTGCCACTCTTTGCCGGAGAGACCAGGAGCATGGAGGGGTGTGGGGGGCCACAGGGTTGCCCACCCCTCTCCCCAGCACGGGGGAACCAGGTGCTGGTGGGGATGGGTGGTGGGAACCCAGGGGTCTGGCTCCCAGCTCTGCATGGGAGCCTGGCGCAGAGGGTAGCAGTGGGGTGAACCTCCCCAGAGCCATGCCCGGAGCAGGGTGGGGGGCTGACAGGGCTTGCAGGGTCAGACTGCTGATCACACCCCCCCAGCCTGACCAGCTTTTAAGGATCCTCAGGCAAACGCCCCAGCTGCCCACCCCAGGCGTGAGGAGGGGGAGGAGGAGAGGAGGGGAGGGGGCCCAGCAGCTCCAAAATAGCAGCAGCTGGTGTGTGTGTGGGAGGTGCTGAGCACCCAGCCCTGACAGCAGCCCAAAATAACCCAGATCCAGTTACACGTGCTCCTTAGCGACGGTGCAGGCATCACCCGCCGCAGGGGGGACCAGCGGACTCGGCCGCCTTGTGCGGGCCCATGTGGCTCTGCTGGACTGACCGGGTACCCTGTGCGCCATGCGAGTGCCCCCTCAGTGCCCAGAGCACAGGGGTGTCCCCAGCCAAGGCCAGCCCGCAGGACACAGTGCCGGGGGGTGGCTGTGCAAAAGTACCAGGCAACCCCACCGCTTATCCCCGGGGTAGGGACCCGCAGGCCAGGGGGCAGGCTCAGCTGGGCAAGGGGTGCCAGCAGGCTGTGGCAGGTCAGTGCCACACTGCAGCTGGAGGAGCTGGCCTGGCTCTGGTCCCTGAGCAGATGGGGCCAAGCGGGCAGCGGGAGAGGTGGGTCCATGTCCCAGCAGCCCAAGGGCTGTACCTTGAAGGGGCCAACCCCCTGAGGGCTTGCTGCTCATGTCCTCACGCCTGTGCCCCAGCCATCCCCACCAAGAGGCTGCTCGTCCAGTTGCCCTGGTTGGGCAGCTCCCGTTGTGTGCCAGGAGGGACCCAGAGTGTCCCACCAGTGTGGGTGCAGACCTCCCCACAGACCTGGCATTTGTCCGCTGCCTGGCCAGGACAGGACCTGGGCTGCCCTCCTCCCAGAGTCTGGAGCAACCCCAGCAGAGGGCTGGGGCTGGGGTGGTGAGCCCACCAGGTGCCCCCATACCGTGGCACAAGCCTGTGAGCACCGAGGTCTTATTTCCCCCCCTGGTTTTCCCTCCCCTGGGTGACTCAACTCCAGCTAATCCCCCTCTCCCGTCCAGGGCTTTATCTAGGACACGGCGCTGCTCAGAGGCGGTGAAGGAGAGCTGGCTCACGCGGCGGTGGCTGGGGAGTCCCCGAGGCTGCACTGCAGGAGGGGGACAGGGGACAGGGGATGGGGACGGGGGACGACATCCAGACTGTCCTGCCCCATCCAGGTCCATATGCCAAGTGCCTGGCAGCAGGAGAGCTGGGGCATCCAGGCTTACATAAGTGCCCAAACCCTGCCCTCCCTGCCCCCCTGCCTCTGCTGTCCCCGCAGGGGGAGATCTGCCTGGCACTCTGGCTCCGAGGACAGCCAAGCTCAGTCCGGTGGCACTGTCAAGGTGCTAGCATGTCCAGGAACCCCTTCCTCGCAGTGGGCAGGCTGGGGCACGGGGACTTGACCAAGGTCACCGCAGGGGCAGGGCTGGGAGCGGGACCCAGGCGTCCTGACACGTGCTGTCGCCTGCTCCCTGCCCCTCCTGCGGGACGCCGGGGCACCCCGGCCCCATGGACGGACACCCACCCCCAGGCCCCCCACCCCCCGGCAGGGGGGATGCCATGGGGCACCCCATGC